TGTCAGAGGGTCCATTCAAGCAAATAGCATAGGCTTTGGGGGGCCCTAGGGCTGAGCCTGGGTACCTCTGCGATGCCATCAGTGGCCCAGGGCCCTGGGGATTTTAGGTGGACTCCAAGGGAGTGAGACACAGAGGTTGAGTCATTCACGGCGAGCCCACCAGATGGGGATGCGGGAGCTGGGAGTGTGAGAATGTGTGTCCGTCTACAGTGGATTGGTCCTGAGTGTGAGCGAGCCTGTGCATGCGGGTGGTAGCCCTGGGTGAGCCTGCTGGTTTCCCTGAAGTCTGATCCAAATGCGCCTGAGCTCCCAGATGGTGAGTATTCCCAGACCTGTCACCTGGCCCGCCAGGCCGGGGAGGCCTCCATGGCTCCTGGGTGCAGTGCAGAAGGACAAATCGTGAAGTCCCTGTGGCCCAATGCCCAACGCTGTTCCTAAAGTGGGGAGAGGAAGTGGGGGGGGGTGTTGGGCTTCCTATTGTGCCTGACATCCCCACAAGCCCAAAGGAAGCCCGGGGAACCCTCTGCCACTCCATTTAGGACCCTGTCCCTGATGGCTCCCAGGAGCCACAGCCAAGCCTGAAATCAGTGAGCACTGCCTACCCTCCTGCTCCCAGGCTCACGGGGTCCAGCAGAGGGCAGGTCTGGGGGAGGCGCAGAAGTGCCGAGCAGAGATGGAGACCATTTCCCAGTCCCCACTCTCGTCCCGACTGTGTCCCCTGGTCTCTGAAATGAGGTTTCCACCTTCCCCTTGAAGACAGAAAGAGACTCTGTTGTCTGGACACACACAACACCAGGCAAGGTGTCACTCTGCATTCAAATGCCATGGCTGTGTCCTCTGGGCTGTGGGCCCTCCCCCACTCCTGGGCTGCTGCTCACAGGGTCCAGGGTCTCCATCTCAGTGTGTTAACCACCAGCCATCCCTCTCTCTCCCTCCCACTCAAGCCAATGGCAGCCCCACCGTAGGCCTGAGCACCGGGGCCATCGTGGGCATCCTCATTGTCACCTTTGTCCTGCTCCTGGTGGTTGTCGACATCACCTGCTACTTCCTGAACAAGTGTGGCCTGCTCATGTGCATCGCAAGTCAACCTGTGTGGAAAGGCGGGGCCAGGCGCCAAGGGCAAGGACATGAGAGGCAAGCCGCCTTCTCGTGAGTGCAGACCGCCGCTACATGGTCCGGGCTCCGCCCCCGGCCAGGGCCCAGCCACGGAGCTTCCTCAGTCCCCCTCTTGGAGGCCCCGAGGGGAAGCAAGCTTTAGAGAAATGTTTCTCAAAGCTTGGCTTGGGGGGATCCCTGTTTGAAAAGCAGACTCGGGCTCAACCTCAGAGCTTATACTTAGAACTTCATGGAAGTGTGAAAATCCCTGCCTAGGACAAAATGAGGGGATTTTCAGAGCTAAGCCTGGGGGTGGGGCTGAAATGGGGAGGGGGCAGCATTTGAGAGACACACTTGCCTTGCTGCCATTCACTCATCCATTCATTCACAAATCACGCAACAAACACTTAGTGAGAAGCTACTCTGGGCAAGGCGCTGTTCCCAGGCTCTGGGTACGGCAGTGAACAGAACAGGGGAGAAGTCCTGTCCTCCTCGAGCTGACGACCCAGTGTGTCCCCCAGAGCCTCTGGGAGCAGAGCCTGAGCCAGCAGGAGCCTCTGCAGACTCGCTGTGCTGAGCTGGGTCCAGGCAAGAAGGGACAGAGCAAGGAAATGCATTGCTTAGCACCACCATGTGCCAGGCAATGCCTATGCATCTACATACACATGAACATGTTCATACACATGAACATACAGTACATATACGCGTACATGCTTACATGTGTATAAGTACAAATCCTCTTAGCATTTATCTGTGCCAGGTGCTGTGCTGAGCACTTTACATTCATTGTCTCAGTTAATGTTCACAACAGCCAGGTGATGTAGATACTGTCATTTGCCCCATTTTACAGATGAGAAAATGGAGACAAGGCAGCAAATCAGATGCTCAAAGTCACATAGCTAGCCAGAGTGGGGATCAGGGGGAGGCGCTGGGCCTGGCTGTAGAGGCCACCTGCCCACCTTGGGCCAGGCCTAGGTAGTTCCTGAGCTACAGCCAGCTTCCCTGGGAAACCCCTCCCCAGCTCCCGGGACTGAACCTGCTGAACTCTCTTTGCAGGAAAGATGAGTCCAAGGAGCCCATCGTGGAGGTGCGCACTGAGGAGGAGCGGACCCCAAATCACGACGGAGGGAAGCACACAGAGCCCAACGAGACCACGCCGCTGACAGAGCCCGAGTACGTGGTGCCTCCGCAGCAGAGCCCCACCCCCTCGCCACCTGCCCACCCTGCCCGTGTGGCCCACCCACAGCTCCTGGCCAAGCACTGCAGGCCGGGATCCTTGGCTAAGAAATGCCGGACCCCTCTCTCCCTGGAGAGAAGGCATTCTTGGTTCTATTAGGGTGGCTGTGGGTGCCCTTAAAGGGCTTTTTGCGTATGTGGGATCCCTAGACCCTGTTCCCAAGTCACACAAACACACCCTGCAAGTAGCTTACGGGAGCGAAGCGTCACTGAGGGAGATAAGCCTTGAGAATGAGACTTAGCACACTCTGTTTAGGATTTCCAAGAATTCTAGGGTTTTCTGAATTCTCCCTAATAGAGGAGGGGACGGGGGAACTGGTAAAGCTCTCTGCCCCCCGCCCCACCCCCACCCCCCGTCCTCAGAAGCCTCAGGCCGTCTCAGTCAGAAACAACGTCCGGCTGTGGTTGTAATGACTGCCCGGCTGGTCTGGCTGCTCTGGGTTTGAAGGGAATGGAATCTAATGGAAGCACAAAATCTGTGGCTGGAGAACCCATGGCTCTTAGGGGCTTTGGAACACTCACTGTCCACCTTACTCCTGACTTTCCCCACCGTGGCCCGTGGCGCCCAGCAAGGCAGCTGGCCCCAGTCCCTGGGACTCAGGCCGCTGCAGTGGTGCAGGCTGACCTGAAGGGGCTGCAGGATCAGAAAGGCCCATGGGGAGTCCCCTGCAGAGCATGGAGGGAGGAAGGGCCAGCAGGTCCTTGTAGCCTGACAGCGGCGTTCTCTGTCGTGTCCTGTCTCCTCTTCTGCCCGCCTGGTCGTGTGCTTCCTCTCTCGCGTCTCGTCTCTCTGTGGGCTGTGTCCGTGCCTGTGCGTCCCTGCATGCCTGGCCCTCCCCCCAGCTCCTCTGTCTCGTCTCAGCTTCATTGTCTATTCTCTTCTACTTCCTGTCCTCCCACAGGCTGCCTGCTGACACCACAGCCACTGTCGAGGACATGCTGCCTTCTGTCACCACCGTCACCGCTAACTCTGACACTATCACCGACACCTTTGCCACTGCTCAGAACAGCCCCACCAGTGAAACCACCACCCTGACCTCCAGTATTGCCCCCCCAGCCACGGCCACGCCCGACTCAAACTCTGTGCCCGCCAGCCAGGCCACCCCTTCCAAGGGGCCCGGAGTGGCCACCTCCTCCCCACCCCCAGCTTCAGCCCCCAAGGTGGCCCCCCTCGTTGACCTGAGCGACACCCCGACCTCAGTCCCTGCCACCAGCAATTTGTCTTCTAGTGTCCTGGCTAACCAGGGGGCTGTGCTCAGCCCCAGCACCCCTGCCAGTGTGGGGGAGGCCTCCAAGGCCCCCCCAGTGAGCAAACCAGCCCCTGCTCCAGCCCCCACCTCAGCCGGGGCAGCCAGTCCCCTAGCAGCAGCAGCTGCCCCTGCCATAGAAGCCCCCCAGGTCAAGCAGGAGGCTCCCAGCATCAAAGGCCCGGACCCCGAGCCCACCCAGCCCGGTGCTGTGAAGAGCCCCAGCGAGGCAGCCACGGCCCTCACTAGCCCGAAGAGCGAGGCTGCCTCTGTCAACGCCACACACCCTGCCCAGGGCGAGGACTTTAAAATGGACGAAGGGAACTTCAAGACCCCAGATATTGACCTTGCAAAGGATGTTTTTGCAGCCCTGGGCTCTCCTGCTCCCGCCGCTGGGGCCAGTGGACAAGCCCCTGAGCTTGCTCCTTCCACTGCAGACAGCTCTGTCTCGCCTGCACCAGCAAAGACCGAGTACGGCCTCTCCTTGTCTCTGTCGTCGGGTTGTGTCCCATGGTAGTGTGCGTTTGTGCTGTGCTGTGTCCTTCTTGTTAGATGTCTCCTCAGCCCCATCCAGGGCTTCTCTGAGGCAACTCTCAACCAAAGGGCTGGGATCAGGCAGAGAGCAGAGGGACACCTAGCAGGTGTGAGAGCAGCCTCCTGTCACTAATTAGGCCACGTTAATTATGCTTTATCCTGATCGTCCTAGCAGCGGCGTCTGTTTTCCCTCGGGAACCCTTGCAGTCAGGCACTGATGAGCATTATTTGGGAGACCAAGGTGCCCCTGTTGGCCACCCTGGGGCCCATAGGCAGTCAGCATGGTATCCAGTGGCGGGCTGTGTCCCCATCAGGACAGCACCGCTCTGCAGGGTGCAGAGAGGCGGGGCTGTGGGGAGAGGATGCGGTCCAGAAGGCCCCTGCACACCCCTACCGGGTTGCCCACACACCCCCATTTACTCCTGCTTCTGCCCTGAGTGGCTGGAAGGACTCAGAGCTCCCAAGTACCCAATGACTGTTGGGTCTTCAAGTTCAAGGGAAGGTCCTTAAGCTTACACGTTTTTTCACTGGGGTGCCAAGATGCAGTGGCACCATCTGGAGCTGGGGTCTGAGTCTGCCCAGTGTGTCCTCAGACCAGACTCAGCTCCAGGAACTGGCAGAGTCAGACCTAGGTTTCCGTAGAGGCTCTTGAGGCTGATGCCAGGGGTGCTGTGGTGCTGCCACCAAGAGCTACAAGGGCACCGTCACAGGAGCCCTGGGCCTCACTCGGGAAGGAAAAGGGCTCCGATAGCCCTGCCCACTCGACCCACTCAGCTTCCCCTGCGGCATGGCACCCCAATCTAGCCCTCAGCAGACTCCCCAGGAACAAAGAGCAGGTTCTCCCCCTGCCCAGGCAAGCCACAGAGGCATCACCACGAAATACTGAGCACAGGGGTAGGTGGGGTGGAGTGGGTTGGGGTGGGGACAGGCAAGAGCAGGGGGTTTGCAGGAGGGCCCTCTGCAAACAGTCCTGGGGAGCCCAGCCCAGCACAGCTCGTTTATACCGAGCTGAGCTGCTGCTCCCGCAGCCCCTCGGGGCGAGGAAAGGCTGCATCTGCTGCCCCTCCACCACCCCAGTAAGGGCTGGAAGGGGAGAGGTCTCGTTCCCCTGGTTTAGTGGCACTCAGCTTGGACTGCACGTTAGAGTCACTTGGGTGCTTTTAAAAGTCACCATGTCCAGACCAGTTTTGGGGTATGGCCCCAGCATCCGCGGCTTATAGAGCTCCAGGTGACGCCGACCAGTTTGAGGGTATGGCCCCAGCATCCGCGGCTTATAGAGCTCCAGGTGACGCCGACCAGTTTGAGGGTATGGCCCCAGCATCCGCGGCTTATAGAGCTCCAGGTGACGCCGACAAGCAGCCAAGGGTGGAGGCCACTGCTCTAGCTGCAGCCCTCCTGCGGGGCTGGCTGAGGGTGAGCTACTCCAGACCCAGGTCTCAGCGCTGTTTCCCGATTCTCTGCAGGAAGGGCCCTGTAGAAGCAAAGTCGGAGTGCCAGGAGACAGAAACGAAGCCAGCACCAGCCGAAGCGAAGACGGTCCCCAACGATGCCACACAGACAAAGGAAAACGAGAGCAAAGCATGATGGGTGACGACAGCCAAGCAAAGATCAAAATTAAAAGTGACACCACAGCTTCACCAGAGCATTTCCAATATCTCACATACACACACACACACACACACACACACACACACATCTCACCCCTCTAGCGTCTTTTGCCTTTAAAAACAAAACTAAACATAAACATGGGATCGCCTTTTTGTAGGTTTATAGAAAGGGTTCCTTTGTTGCGCACTCACTTGTAAGAAAATGAGACAAAAAGGTTAACCCCACAGCCAAACTAGGACACTCCGTTCCCTGAAACCATTTAAAAATCAAACAAAAGGACCCCAAATTAAGAATCTAGGAAGCTCAGAAAAAAAAATCTAGGTTCAGGAAGACCGCACTTGGCATTGCCCAATTGGCACAGAGCAGTCTCAGAGAGAAACACTTCCAGGCACTATAACTAACCGATGAACAAAGTCCAAGTTTATTTTTATACTCTCAGTCGAGTTTGAATTCTGTAAAAACCTCATAAGTAAGTTATCATTTCTGTTCACTTTGTATTTGTTCAGTATGCAAAGTGTGTCACCCCTTCTAGCTGACTTCAGTTCCCACGTAGACTCTGGTTCCGTAGGAAGAATGCCAAATTGCAGCTTCTGGGGCTAGATCTCAATTTGCAGTATTCAGACTTCTTTTTTTTCTTTTCTTTTCATTCTTTTCTTTTCCTTTCTGCCAACTTTGCTTTCCAGTGTTTACAAGTTGACAAATGTTTAACTTCAATGGCATTTCAATGTCCATGTAAAGTAGTTGCCTTTTTTTTTTTTAAGCTCCAAATACCGCCTAGGTGGGAGGATCACCGCAGGCCTGCTTTAGCACAGAAACGTCACCCCCATGACTGTTTGCAGTGGTAATCCCCTATTGAGTTGAAGTTTTCACCTGCATCCAACTCAGGTGAAAATCCATCTCGTTCCGGACTGGTTTTGCTTTTTGGTTCTCGGTTCCTTTTGTGTTTCCCTGCGGGTAGACCGCTTTCTAGCAGCAGTCGCCTGGCCTGCAGTGTCTGGGAAAAGGGCTCTGCTCCCAGCGCCCTGCTCTTCCTCTTGAAAGTTTCCTTAGGCTTTGTTGACCGAGCAGAGAAGACTGTATAGCTGCGGCTGGTCTTGGTGAACACACGTTTTGACCCCAAACATCCCCCTTTTGTAGAAAGCCAAATAAAATATATACATACAATTTCTTTTGAGCCCAGAATCTAGATTTGAGCGGAAGAACACGTGTGCTTCAGGGAATGAGTGTCTTTTTTTGGAAATCTGTTGAAGTAAAGGAACATCGGCCTTCTGTTCACTTAGGCAGCATTTGTAGAAACAAAAGAAAAAACAAACAAACAAACAAAAAAACCCAACCTGCTGTCTGGAGTCATAACACAACTTTCCTGGATTGGAAACAAAGTGGGGGAGAAATACAGAAACTTTACGGGGACGGGAGGGGGGAGAAGGGAAAAGCCAGCCCTTTGTATAGACATTTTGCTTTTTTTCTCATTCTACTTTAGAACTGCAAGCTTGTGCACTGTGGACGCGTGAATATTTTAGTGTGAAACGTGTTTTGTCATAGTATTGAAATAAAACTTCAACATAGTTTGGTTGTGGAAGGTATAGCAGATAGTTCAGAAAAAAAAATATTCAGGAAAGAAAATTTACTCTTAAAAGGAATTGAAGCCTTTAAACAAAGAAAATGAATAAAAATGATTTTGATGATGATGATGATGCTAAGTAAACAGAAGTCAGGTCTCAGCACGCGCTGCTTTCCGAAGGTACAACAGCAAGAGGTGAGGGTGGCGAGACCACCGAGTCGTGCTGTGGGCCACACCCAGGTCCTGACACTTCTGCAGCCTGATCAGTGGCAATGTGCTAGATTATCATTTCAAACTGTGAAAAATAATGGTCTTGTCATTTGCTCAATGTGGGGTTATTTTGCATTTTCTCATCTCCTGGGGATGGAAATGGAGGATCCCAGTCCACAGCGCTCGGCCCCTTTGATTCTAGGGCCACACAAATTCTGGTTCCGAGGCACAGGCCCGCAGGCACAAACACCTTGAAGACAATTCTTAGAGCACACAGCAGAACGGGAGCTCCTGCGTGTCAGGCGGAGGGTCCGCAAGGACTGGTGGCTCTTCTGTCACCAGGTTGTCAGTGGGATCAGTTCTGCATCTTGTGGTGTTAGTGGCTTTGATCAAGGCCAAGCCCACATTATACCTCAAGGAGACTGCGTTTCATTCCAAGCTGGTGTGGTTAGGCAAACTGATTTTTGTTCCAATGATTAGGAAGAAAAAGAGGTATAGTCAACCCTCAGATAACCTGGCCCAGGACAGCGGACAGTCACCCTCCGCCAAGAGTCCACCATTAGCTGGAACCCAACCCTCTGCCCGCCTTTTGGTCAGCTTCTCTCCCAATATACATAGATTTGTATCTGCATGCATGAGCTTTCCTTTCCTTAAAAATATAAAATAAAACAGAGCGATGCTTTCTCTAAAATCAAAGAGGGAGTCACTTTATTTTCAAGATGTTCTATCTTTTATGTTAAGAGATAAAAGCTTATAGTTTTTCTTTTTTAATTTTTTGAAGGGGGATCAATTCTGCCCATTTCCAATGTCTATGTGTCTATATGTGTATGTGCCATACATATGTATTCACATGAATGCCGGCACGGCCGAGTCCTGCTGGGGCACTCGGGTGGACGCCCGGGCCTCCGCTCCCTGGGGCCACAGTGTACGCAGTGCAGCTCTGGAAGTGGAACTCTATTTTCACACTTTTGTATGGAGCCTTCAAGCCCCAGGTTTTCACTCTAGGCTGTCTGTCTGGATGGCGGTTTTCAGACCTCCATTAACATCCCTACCCAGCATTCCCAACTTCGGGGGCCTTCTCTCTTGTTATAAACTTTTTACCAAGTGAAACATCGAGACCACCTTTGTTTCCATTCTCACTGGTGTAAATACTGAGTACTAACTGAGAATTTTGACTTTGCATTCTGTCAGAATACTTGTGTTCAATAAAAACTGAAAGAAAAAAAACAACAGTCATGGTCAAACTGGGATTTATTTCAATTCAGGGAGAGTGTCGTGGATCAAATGTGGAGAAGCCGGTGGTATTCTTTATTCTTTGACCTGTGAAAAAGGTCAGTTAAACGCAGTGTCTGGAGTTCCAAATGCCTGAATGATGGTTTCTAATTTTCCTCTCAGGATGACAGAGGAGTCCTCGTTTAGAAGGACCAGGTGTCAGATTCAAAAAGATTTTATGCAAATCGTGGTTCTACCACTTCCTTGACCTTGGAAGAGTTCCTCAATCTCCTCAAGACTCAGTGTCCTCTTCTGACAAACTGGAACTATCAAGCTAATAGAGTTGAGGTACTGGTTAGTGAATAAGGCACTGAAAGTCAGTGTAGCACTTTCTTGGCACATAGTAGGTACTAAACAAATGGGAGTTAGTGCTGTTGGCATCCCAGGTGTGTGATAGCGTCCAACACAAGGTCCCAACACTGCACTAACCTGAGCGACACCTCCTTTTTGTATCCTATGTGCCTCATCCTAGTCTCGGCTTGGGGAGTGGAGTCTTCCCCTGTGGTGGTGTCTGCATCCTTCCAGGACTGGTTCTTGCACTGGCCCTGGGCCTTTTCTAATGTCACAGAGCCGTATGCATCTATATGATTTCCTGTGCCACACATTTCCAGCTGCATGGAGGGGGCGACGGGTAAAAGCACGTTGCTTACCAAGATTTGGAGAAATCATACCATGATAACCCTCTTCATTAATCCATGAAGGCTTGTTTCCAGAGTCTTCCTCCCTCAGACTAGTCTCTCAGATTCCCTAAGTATGTATTGAGCATCTCCAAGGGGCTTAGGATGTAGCACCAAATGAAACAGCTCGCTCTCTCATGGAACCTTCATTCCAGTGTGGGGGTGGGGCAGACAATAAGCACATAGACGCTATGTTGTGGTCACTAGGCCAGTTCACCAATGTCCCAGTTCTCTTCCTCCTTCTGGGCACATGATAGGCTTACACTTCTTTGATCATTTCAAATGGGTGTGCATGGCCATGCGGTTGGCTGTGGTCAGCGGCATACGAGCAGCATAGTGCATGTCACTTCTAGGAGAGTCTTTGACAGCCAGTGTGTCTTACTGTGGCCCTCTTCCCCGACACAGCAATCAGCAATGCTGCAGGTGGTGGCAGTGCCGTCACCTGGGTCCACAGTGAAGGATGTGAGCAGGTGACGCATGACAGACATGAAGGGTGCCTGTGGAGTAACCCAATGGTAACTGTTTAACAGCTGGCTCTCTAGGAGGAAGGGACAGGGGATGTACATATGTATGGGGAAGGGGTGTGTGTGCATGGGTGCACGCATGTGTGTGTGCATTTATTATAAACTTCATTGATGTAGAGAATGTAATAAAATATTGCAAGTAATAAAATATATAGTATTCTATATTGAGATTCCTTATATCCTATTGAAATTCACAGACTGCTTTTGATTTTTGCTGAAGTTTTGTATCCATAATTAACCTACGGTGGCAATTGACTAATGAGTGCAGTTCCAACATAAATGTTGGTTAATATATTCACTTATGTTAACTAGTGAGATGAAAGTGGCACAGAAAAGATGTACGTGTCAGAACTTCACTCACTCATCAATGGTGTGAGCGACCTCTGCTGAATCATACAGAAGTTTTTGAATACTAGAATACTGCCTCAATTTTCTGCTATTCACAGTGTAATGGCTGCAGTCATGGCACATTTTTAAATTTAATCTGCATCATAAATAATCTTCCCTATCACTTTCTTAAGTCTAGACAGACACCAGAAAGAAATCAAACCCTGATCTGTAGCATTTACTGCTCTCAGAGGCATATAAATATTCTCACGGTGGCTGATTTCAATGTGTCACTGGACAAGAAGTTAGGTCCAGCCGCACAGCAGAACATCATTAAGGTATTTCCAGCATACAGATAACAGAGACATAAATAGCTGCACAGACATAATAGTAATATGCAGTAATAACAAACATGCATACATGGCAAAATGCAGTAAAATAACAAGTGATACATTTTGAGTATTTATTGCCTTCATTTTCAATATAATTTTAATGGTAAATTTATGTAATTTAATTTTTAATGACTATGCTTAACAAGTGGCTCAAAAATTTCCTGGAAATTTAACAATTGGTTCTCCCTAACTCCAGCATACCACTGGATAACCCCTTTATGCTATAAGCCACTTCACCTTCAGACCTGTTGCAGCAGCATTATGTAGACTATTATGGCTAAATCAGGGAGCGAGAAGGCTCCTGATTTAATCCAGGTGAATGGGAGGTCAGAATACTCCTCTCTGAAAAGGTGACATTTGAGCAGTGACCTCAAAGAAGTGAGGGATTGAACCATGCAAATATCTGAATGAATATCTCAGGCAGAAAAAAAACAGCAAGGGCAAAGGTCCTGGGGCGGGGATTCTTGGTGTATTCAAAGAAGAGCAAGGAGGCCAGTGTGGCTGGAGCAGAGAGCAAGGGAGGGGTGGGGGAGAGGCATAAGAGGCAGGAGGTGAGTCAGAGACATCCATGAGCTAGGTCACCTGGGATCTGTAGACTATTATGAGAATTTTGGCCTTTTCTTCAAGTGAGATGGAAAGCCAAGGGGAAAAATTTAAGCAGAAGGCTGAGATGACTTAACTTGATTTTTAAAATGATCACTCTGGCCCTCACTGTCTTCAGTGAGACAGCCAAGCAGTCTCCCCAGTAGACACAGAGATGTGACTCTGTGAAAACCCTGACTCGCAAGACCATCACCCTCAAGGTCCAGCCCAGTTACACCACTGAGAACACAAAGCTAACATCCAAGACAGGGAGGGGATCCCACCTGACCAGCAGCAACTGATTTTTGTGGGCAAACAGCTGGCGGATGGCTGCACCCTCTGACTCTGATATCCAAAAAGAGCAAACCCTGCACGTGGTGCCTTGTCTGTGGAATGGCATCTCTGAGCCCTCACTGTGCTAGCTCACCCAGAGTACAACTGCAGTAAGTGTTACTCACTTGCACCACACACTGTCAACTGCAGCAAGAAGTGCAGCCACACCATCAACCTGCACCCCAAGGAAAAGGTTAGATAGGGCTCCCACCACGACCACCTCAGCCCACAGGGCAGTCTCCTGCCTGAACCCTGTGGCTCTGAAGCCTCAATAACATTTCTTTTTTGTTGACTGGAGACGTTAAAAAAACAAACAAACAAACAAACAAAAAACCTCACTCTGGCTGTTGGTTTGAGAACAGACCACAGTCACACGGCAATGGTGTAGATGGGAGAAGATAGTGTGCTTGGAGCAAGTTGATTCCAGTGGAGGGAGGACAGTGGCCAGATGCTAGCTCTCTATTGAAGGTGAAGCCAGCAAAATTATAAAATGGGTTGGATGTGGGTTTGAGAAGCATGAAGGACGTCTTCCAGATTTGCGGCCTGAACAACGGAAAAGATGGAGTTGGCATTTACTTTCTAAAAGGAGTGGAGGAGAAGCCAGTTGGATGGTTGCAGAGTTTGGTTCTGGACAATTTAAGTCTGAGATACCTGTGAACACCCTAGTGGAGATTTTGAACAGGCTGAAGTTCAAGAGGTCCATTCGGAGACACATGTAGAAGCTGTCATCAGAGAGCTTGTGTTTGAACCCCGGCACTTAGTGAGATCACCAAAGAAATGAATATGGATTAAGAAGAGAAGAGAATAAGCAAGGGACCCAGAAAAAAATTTTTGCAGGCAGCTCTATGGCAAGGTAAAAGCTGAATGACCCCTTTTCTGGCACTTAGAACACAGGGGGAGGAACAGGCCTGCACTGACAAGATGAAAGAAATACCATCTGATTCCACCAATTCCAGGCTGTCACTATCACATGCCATTCATTTGTGAAGACCTTGGCTTTTGGTTCATGGTCATCCTCTCTCCCAAGTTCCACCATCATCCTGGGAGACTTCAGTGCTTTTTGTTGAAAACCCCTTCAAAACACAGGTCCGTCATGTTAACATTCTTGTCTCCAGTGACCTCCTTCCCTCCAGTTAAGCCACCTTGACCAACCTGTAGACTTGATCATCACCAGCCATTCAGCCTGAATCAGATTTTCAGATTCCCCACTCTCCAACACTCTCTTTGACCCATCCAGTTCTCTCACTCAGCTACTAGTACTCCCAATAAGTTAATTATTTGTCCTTACTGAGGCCTCTGCTAATTGACTCCCAGATTTTTCCCTATTTATCATGTCCTCTCTTCACCTCCCTACACACCCAGCTTCGATTCTTTGGTCCAGCTCTCCAACCACTCACACTCAGACAGTAAAGGCTTCCTTGTCTTGACGGTCTCGCTCTGCATTTATCTTGTAAAACTCTAGCCCTCGCCGTAACCGGTTTGGCTCAGTGGATAGAGCATCAGCCTGTGGACTGAAAGGTCCCAGGTTCGATTCTGGTCAAGGGCATGTACCTTGGTTGCGGGCACATCCCCAGTAGGAGGTGTGCAGGAGGCAGCTGGTCGATGTTTCTCTCTCATTGATGTTTCTAACTGCCTATCCCTCTCCCTTCCTCTCTGTAAAAAATCAATAAAATATATTAAAAAAAAAAACTCTAGCCCTAAAAATCATGTCTGCCATCTCTTTGTTCACACCTGGACAGCTGGATGCTGTTCTAGAAAAACCACATAACCAAGCACATTAGTACCAAGAGATAATTAAAGTCACTCTCAACTAGTCTCTGACACTAGTACTGCCTGACAATCCTACTAGTATTTCTCACCAACTCCTTCATATTCTCCTCTACAAAAATGTCTTCACTTTCCCCAGACTAACCCCTCCCTCAGCCATCCTTTTCATCTCAGCAAGTGAATGGTCTTGCTTCCTTCTTCTAAAGAACACCCTCAGTTGACCATCCCAAATCTACACACCCACCTGCATCCATGGTCTCCCTTCCTCCTTTGCTCTTGTACATCAGAAGCAGCATCTCCCCTTTCCCTGAACATTGGCTTTTCTCTCCTACTTTCATTGGGACTTTCTTCATCCA